GACAGGCTCCAAAACAATACAGAGAAACCCTGTCTCAAACAACAACAAAAAAAATCATTGAGCTTTATGTAGCCTTAAATTTTTATTCCACTCTTAGGAAAGGAAATTTCAGATTTTATAAACTACCTCCCTATCTCTGAGTACAATTTATGATTTTTTTTTTTAGTTTTTCCTAATTCACACTGACTAGCTGTTCTTATACACTGGTGTCCAGGCACCTGGACATGGAAGCTTTGCTTTAGTCAACCACAGAACAGAGGGGTCTCCTCAACTCCAGCCTCTCACCAGCTCTTTGGTTCTTGACCAGTTTTTCTGGTTTCATATAGCATATTGAATTTTCTTAGGGATTCTTTGAAGAATAAGTACTAGTTTTCAGGTGAAACGGTTCACTGGTTTCCCTTCATTTTGCACTAAAGAGTGAAATACAAGCCACTCCTTCCTTTGCCCGAGTGACTGCAGAGCGTCCAAGCCACTGCTCACTCAGCACTGAGGCTCAACATCCCTAAGCAACCCCCTCCCCGCCAGCCTGCCATGAACTTCCAGGCCATTAGCTTTTCCTTTCAGATGGATGTAACATTAGCTTTTCATTTCAGATGGATGTGACAGCTGCTATCTAAAGTTCCCTCCACATGAAACACTTTCTGATCGTCTCTGCCTGCTTTACACAGAAAAGCATTTTTTATAATACTTTTCCACCAAAAGGTGGCACTCATAACTTTACTTAATGATTCCCCTATAGTTAGCTTCACATGGTATTCAAAAGTACCTGTGATATTTAGATGAGACAGCTGATATTAAGAGCATCTAAGGCAAAAAGGATTCGGCATTTCCAGCCTTTCACATAGTACTCTCCTGTTGGATTACTGGCTCTTAGGTCCAAACAGTGTCTTCTTCAAAAAAAAAAAAACAGAAACAAAAGTCTATTTATTTGTATATGAGAAAGTGTGTGTGTGTGTGTGTGTGTGTGTGTGTGTGTGTGTGTGTGTGTGTGTATATATATACACAGCATTCATGTGGTTAGAGAACAAGCCACATAAGTTGGTTTTCTTTTCCCTTTCCACCATGTGGTCCCTGGGGATCAAACTCAGGTCATCAAGCTGGGTGGCAAGCTCCTCTTTAATTGGCCCATCGAGCCAACTCCCAGCATCTTCTTTCAATTCTCTATACCTGTTTTTACTCTGCCACAAAAACACGGTGAGTGGAAGATATGAGAAAAGGGTAGGGGTATATCTAAAATACATTTTTAAAATTCTTGTTTTTGAAAATTAAAGTATCTGTATCATCCTCCCCACCTTTTCTCCCTCCAACTCCTTGCCCTACTTCTTGCCCCCTTCCAAATTCATGACCTCTTTTTTTTCTTTGTTACACACACACACACACACACACACACACACACACACACACACACACACACACACGGTGACTCTGTTTAGTGCTGTTGGTGTGTCTCTGACTTTAAGACTGATCGCTTTGTGTTAAATAACAAATGAGGGGGAAAACTACTTGCCTGTCATTCTCTGTCTGGGGGTGGAGCCACATGAGAAATTTCCCCTTCCATGTTAGCATATCTATTGGTGTTGTCTTTGCTCATCTTGTGTTTAGGCAGCCATATTGTTGAGGTATCATGGGTGTGGCTTCCCTGTCATTTCCAGGAGACACATTCTCATGGTTCTCTTGTTGTTCTTAAAGCCTTTGTGCCCATCTTCCTTAATGTTCCCCAGCTTTAGTTAGGTTCAAGAGGTGGCTTTGTAGATGTGTTTTTCACTGACCCTGGGCACCCATGGTCTCTTGTTCTCTGCGTGTTGACAAGTTGTGGTTTTCTTCAGTGGTCTTCATCTGCCATAAAGAAAAGCTGCATTGGTGAGGGGTGAGAGCTGCACACAGCTGGGGTGTAAGCATACCTGTTTAGAATGCAGTTAGGGATTGTGCTGGTTTAGTAAAGTGGTAGTTGTAGGTTCTCCAGGATTTCACTAGCCCTGTGTAGTTGTCTAGGTTTCTACTGTCAGCGTGGTTTCCTTCCTGTTGGGTAGGCCTTCAGTCCAATTAAACAGTTGTTGCTTACCTCTAGGGTATGAATGTCACAATGAAAGAGCCCCGGAGGCTCAGGACCCCAGGATCTCGGTCCAGGACTGCAACGACCCCAATCACCAGGTGGAGGGGAAAGCTTGATGCATACAGCATGAGGCTTTATTGTAGTTGTTTAATGAGCTAACCCCATGTTAGCACGTGCCTTTCATCCATCCACCATGGAGATTGGCTAGGAAAGACGGCGTGAAGCCACGACATAGAGATCTTATAGGGCAGTGTAAGGGGAGTGTCTAAGGGTATGCCCAGGTTCAGGATTGGTGTGTCTCCAGGCTTGCCCTGTGTTGATTGGTCAACTGGTTGTTATGGCCTATAGGCCCTCCCAGGGTGGTTGCTATGCTCTGTACATCATTGCTGTGCACTTGTCCGTAAAGCACACCCAGAGCCGGAAAGCATAGCACCACCAGCTAACTTCTGATTGGTTCCTTGCCACGAGGCAGGCATCTGATCTCCTAGTGACCAAGGCAAGGTCAGGCAAGCATGCGTTACTGTCATGGCTGCCAAAATGGGGAGCTGGTCCTTCAACTATTTATTTTTTTAAAGTCCCTTTCTACAGGGGAGAGGATGACTTGTGTGTGAATTGCCTGGGCTGAAGGGCAGACTTCTATTTGGAACAAATCTCCTGAGCATTTATTACAGAGCCACTTGATAAAGATACAGTTCTTTAGAGTCCTTGTGGGATGCCAAATCCAGACCCTGCTGTCTAGTGTCTGATTTAGCTGAGATAAGGCAGGCACACAGTGTGAGCCCTGCAGTAACTTTCCATGCACAGTAGGTGCAAAGTAAGTGCACAGTAGGTGTGTGGGTTGGTCTTAGGTCATGTGAGCATGTGAAGTAGTATGAAATGAGGTTGTTTTTTTCTTAGATTTTCAAGACAGGGTTTCTCTGTGTAGCCCTAACTGTCCTGGAACTCATTCTGTAGACCAGGCTGGCCTGGAACTCACAAAGATCCACCTGCCCCTGCCTCCCTGAGTATTAGGATTAAAGGTGTGTGCTAACACCACCTGGCTTCGTTTTTTTTTCAGGATCTCTGGGTGTGGGTGTGTGTCCGTCCATTTGTGTCTCTGTGTGTCTGTCTGTCTGTGTCTGTGTGTGTGTGTGTATGAGTACCCGAGGAAGTCAGAATAAGGTGTGAGGTCCCCCAGAGCTGGTGTGTTTTAGGCAATTGTAAGCTGTTCAGTGTGGATGCTGGGAACTGAACCAGCCCCTGGAAAGAGCAGAACTGTTTTGTCTCTAGCCCCTGCAGTAAGAGTTTGCTGGAGGAAGATCATTCTTTCATCAGTGTTTATTGAACATCATTTTCCCTTTTTTTTCATCAGTGTTCTTGGCACAGAAAATAAAGTTAAGAACAAAGTGGACAAGAACTTTGCTTTCAGGGACAGCCTTTTAGGAACCTTTATATTGAAAAGTCCACCATATGAGGATCTGAAATAGTGTCCAGCACAAGGACCTTGTGTGGAAAGCCCCAGCATGACAATTGGCTTGATATTGTTCAAGAATGGCCTAGGCAGCTGAAGGATAGTAGAAGTAGGTATAAAAGGCCACAGGAGTGGGACTGAGATGGCCTTGACAAAGAGTTGGGCAGGTGGCTTTGGGAAGGCTTGTAGAATTGGACTAGTTGAATAATGGGTAGGATTGGAATGATACACTTTGTGTGACTTCCTCACCACTCAAAATATCTGCAGTTTTAATCCTCATTTAGCAGATGACAGAGCAAGCAGCACAGCGGGACCATATAATGAGTGGTGACAACAATTTTCAAAGTGCCATGTTCATTTTCTTGTTCGGAAGTAAAAAGCGTCATCCAGGCAATGATGGTGCACGAAGAGGCAGGTGGATCTCTGTGAGTTCAAGACCAGCCTGATCTATAGAGTGAGTTCCAGGGCAGGTAGGGCTACACAGAGAAACCCTGCTTGAAAAACAAACAAACAGCAATAATAAAAGTGTAAAGTATGCTAGTTCTTTGGTTTCAGAAGTCAATAAAGCTAATGAGTAGTAGCTTTTGCCTGAGGAAAAGCAGAGAGAGGCAAAAACAATGTTGGGGGACAGCTGCAAGGTGTCTTGGTTGTTGTCAGACATATGGGGTTTTTTGTTTGTTTGTTTGTTTGTTTTTGCATTTAATTAAAGCCCCCAGTTTAGCCAGTCAGTGTCTGTCTCCCCTACCCCACCTGTCTCCCTCACTGGTGATTTAGCATAGGGCCTCAAACTTGCCAGGCAAGCACTCTACCCAAGTCTATGCCCCCATCCCAAGAGTTTGCTCTTTCGACGGTCAGTCCTGAGGACACTAACATACTCAAAGAGCAGTTCTATTTGCAAAGGAAACCTGTGGCTCCTTGACACAGGCCGACCCCATTCCAAACTCTCCACCAGTCACTGTTAGCCCATTGGACAGGTGACGCTCTATCCTCAGCTTCAGCCATAATATGAGGGAGTGGTGGGATATATTTCAGGGGGTGCAGACTGGAAGGCAAAGCATTGTGAATGAGACAGAGAGACTATTGCTCACTTCCCTTTCCTTGCTTGCTTCCTGGAGTACCGGAACATTGACCCATTTGCAGTTGACTCAGCCTTGCAAACAGGAACATTAGTCATTAAGAATGCTCTTCAAGTGGTGCCTGCAAGATAATGGTAGAGCTTCTAGCAGCTGTGTAGATTCAGGGCAGGACTGATGCCATGACAACAGCAGAAAGTTGCTGTGGAGATAGTGTGGTCTTTGTCTGACTCAGTATTTGATAATATTAGAAAAAATGTATTATTCTAGCCGTGATTGTGGCAGTCATAATTTTAAAATATCTTTCCTTTGATATGCATATTGGTTTGATCATGAGCCTGAGCTTTGTTTTATAATTGCTTAATTCAGCATGAAAGGGTTTGGTAAGTGAAGCGTGTATTTAAAAATAAGTCATCATAAACTAATCTGTATGTTTTCTTACAATTTCAAAAGTTCCCCCTTGTTATTGCTGGGCAATGGGCTCCTTATATTTCTTCACAATTTTTTTCTTTGGTTTTTTGTTTGCTTGTTTGTTTGTTTTACTAGCCAAATTCCCCTTAGTTAAACCAGATCTGTTTGTTGGTCCTGAGCCGTTAAGCAAAAAGCCTGCCTTTTGTTAGAGCCAAGCTGTTACTTTTGTTCCTGTAAAGATCCTAGATGAACTAGGACTATGTTCAACTTGTGGTCAGTATCTGCTAAATGCTGAACGAATGAACCCTAGGACCATGACTGCTTAAAGTATGGTTAGTGTTTGGTAAATACTGAATGAACAAGTGAAAACCTAAAGAGCCCAGCCCTGACTCTTTTCTTTGTCTTTGCAGCGGAGCCCAGGGGGAGTATGCTGGACTGGCTACTATCAGAGCATACTTAGACCAGAAAGGAGAGAGGCACAGAACGGTGAGCATGGCAGGTGGCACTTTGCTCCCTGTGGGTGGTCGCACGCTCAATCACAGGGTGCCTTTTGTTCCTTGGGATCTGCCTTTCCAGTCTTCTTGGAAGTGGACAGAGAAACAAATCAAGAAGCACATTTCTGTGTTTCCTTGCCTCCAGGACATCCCATGCAATCTTTGTGAGGGGAAACCTCAGAGATAAAAGGCTTTTGTGCAAACCCAGCTTATGGAGGCAGCCAACTGGCCTTGGAAGTGCTCTCTAGGGAGCACAGGGAGGCAGGCAGCAGGATTGTTGTCATTCTTGCCCTCCTCATTGGCTCAACCCTAGCCCTGGGCCTAAGACCGTAACAATTTTGAGCCTAAGCATCCTCAAAAGATACCCAGTGAAGAAATATGATCCCCATGGGATTGCTCTTAACTCTAAACAACCACGATAGGGAGCAGTGGCATTTCTGCTATGCCACTTGCTTTGAGCATGGGAGTCAAGTTTGCTAAAGTGACTCACTCCTCAGATTTCCTGGGGACCAGCTGATGCTACCGGGTACCATTAGTGTCCCAGAAAGATGTATTGTGATCTAACCAAAGCCTCTAGTTATGGCCAAAAGAGGCCTCAGTTCCTGGTCCCTCCATTTTGGAGGTCAGCTCTGTGCTAGGGTTTCTAGAATGCTGTGGAGCTGCAATTCTTAGAGGGGTTTTAGGGAGGGTGGGTGTCAGGAGCAGGACAAAGGCCCCAGCTGTTCCGGAAACTTCCAGAAGGTTCCTACTACCTGAGTGAGTACTACCAGTGATTCGTAGGCCAAGCTCAGGTCCTTTCTGAGTTTATTGAAGCTGAAAGGGTGTTCTGGCTAGTCTGGATTTTTCAGTGAAGACTTTTGAAACTTTCACTTCCTCCTTGGAAAAAAGTGGAGAAGGAACATTGACTCCCAGTGTCTTCCCATTGGGAATAGAATTCTTTTTTTTTTTCCTTTTTGGTGCTGGTGATTGAACTCAAGCCTTTCCGACACCAGGGCAATACTGTATACATTACCAACAGTTTTTGTTTTGTTTATTTACTATTATTGTCACAGACATATAGCCTGGGCTGGCCTCATACTCTCTGTCCTATTGAGAATGCCTTGAACTCCTCACTCAACCACCTGTCTCCACCTTCCAGGTGCTGAGATTATCTTCCTGAGCCCATGCCTAGCTGGTTTTGGTATTTCGAAAGTTCAGGCTGGCCTTGTACTTGCAAATGTTTTGCCTCAGTAGCCTAAGTGCTGGGTTCACAAATGTGTCCTAACATAACTGTCATTGAACTGACTTAACAATCATTGAAACAAGCCATTTATGAATCCAGAAATTACTGGACCCTGAGCATGCACAGGGACTATGTGTTTCCTGAGATCTGATGATACAGTAGACAGACATTGGAATTTGGATTTGTTCAATCAGTTTTCTTGGGATCATAATCTCTTAACTGTATGAGAAATGTTCTTGAGACCTGAGAGACGCATAGAATCAGAAGAGAACTGTGGAGCTGAGATGTCCAGTGAGGGAACACCAGATAAGGAACCACTCCTGGTTCCTCCATGGTTCCCAAATACCCATATGCCTTGGAGCTCCTTGTCATTGACTCTTCCACTGTTGTTTGTTTGGGTCTTGCAGGTCGTACTGTGAGACAGAGAAGCCATCAAAGCAATGGCTTCCTAATGCTGCGACCCTTTAATGCAGTTCCTCATGTTGTGGTGACCTCCAATCATAAAGTTATTTCGTGGTTACTTCATAACTGTAATTTTGCAACTGTTATGAATTGCAATATAAATATTTCTCAGAGATAAGGTTTGCCAAAGAGGTCTCAGCGCACAGGTTAAGAACCACTCCACCAAACCCCCACACTGGCAGTGTCTGTGGAAGGCCCATGACTAAGCAATGCTAAAGGGCCAGACAGAATTCAGATTCACTCTGCCCAAGCCTCAATATGTACCTAACTCTGCATTCTGATACCTGGAAATAAGTTTCTTTGCTATAGGAGTTGGGGACCAAGTCAGAAACTCCAAATTAGAGATCTTCTGAATTGGGTAGACCTGGATCTCTGGTGATTGGCTTTCTATGGCTCTCGCTTCCTCTCTGAGCATCCCAGTCTCCTTCTCTGCTCCCCATGCCCTGGATGTTATATCTTCCCTGGCACCGCTGCGCACACTGTCATCACAGAAGGCTGAGAGGACATTCCATTAGGAAGTGTATGGTTCTGCACTTCTGGACAGTAAGAGGAGAAAGGCAGGGAAGCCCCCCCAGCCACTGAGCTCAGAAACATGACGGAACTCACCAGTCTGGAAACAAACATTGGCTTCCTTCTGGACAAGCAGTTTTAATTTAAGCCCTTTTTTAGAGAAGAAAAGAATGACTTATTATTCAAATAGCCAAGGAAGATTTTCCACATTAGTGATGTCTAAGGCAGCTGCTCCCACACAATAGGCTCAAATGGAGCTCGGTTAAACATACCCTTCTCTTTTGAAAAGGAGTTGGAGACAGTATGTGCAGAAAAACCATAAAACAAAACTGCCTAGGTTACTGATGGTTCTCTGCCTTCAAGCTGCTTTTAGAAGTTATTTCACTTTTGCTCTTTGGTCAAGTTTCAGAGGCTCCTGAAATAGAATGCCCAAGTTCATGATTCATAGTTTAATTTGGGAAAATGAATTATTTAGCAATCTCCATGTGCCAGGCACAAAGCATTTTACAGCTCATCTCTCACTTTGCTGGTCAAATCTCAACTCAAGTGTCCTGACTCGTATAGAAAGGGAAAACATTGACCTCTCACAGTACACACCTACACCTCTTTGTTACTTTTGAGACCCGTTTCTCTTCTTAAATGCCTGAGGCAGTCATAGCCTTTAATTGTCAGGTTTTAATCCCTGGCAAAACACAGAAGTTTTAACTTGGCATACATTCAGTTCTTTGAGGATGAAATCTGTAGTTCTACACCAGGTTTCCTGGAAATTAGGACATAGCTTCCTCCTACAGGATATAAGCATACCATAGTTGGATTCACCTTAGACGCTAAGGCTTGGAGAAACCAGTACATCAAATCTGAGTTCTAATACTTCTGTGTCTGACATAACATATATGATTTTAAAGAGAGGTAAAAGTAACACTGTGAAAGTAATGTAAGGTCCGCAGATTTCCCCAAACACAAGCATGTCTACAGTGAAAGTAACTTGAAGTCCTTAGATCTCCTCAGAACACAAAAGTTTCTACTGGGAAAGTAACTTAAAGTCATTAGATCTCCCCAGAACACAAGAGTGTCTACAGTGCCTCTCTCCATTGTTCCAGGGTCGGATTGATTTTTCCATGGCTGCTCTAGCAAATGACTGTAAACTCAATGTCTCGTGACAGCATTCAGGGACTGTCCTACAGTTAGAGGCCAGAGTCAGAAACTGTCCTCATGATGTTGACAGAGCGCTTTCCTTAGACCGAGCTAGGGAGGACCTGTTGCCTTTCCTAGTTCCTGCAGGCCACCTTCCCTCCTGAGCTCATGTCCTCTTCTTGCTATTGCACAAAATTCTTGCTTTGTCCATCGCAGCTCCTCCCTCTATGGCCAGATCCCTATGATGGACACTTGTGTGCACACTTAGGAATAGCCGAAAGTTCAAACTCAGAGTAATCCTCTAGCCTCCAGGTCCTTCTGTCTTCTCTGCCATAGATGCTGACCCTGGGTTGTTCCAAGGCCTTGGTCAAGAGAACCTGGGAGATCATTACTTGCCTGAACACAGGACAGTTGACATTTTCAGCTCTTATTATTATTTTTTTTTTGGTAACCCCCTTTGTGGGAATTCTTAATTTTGTCCCATTAGGAATATTTTATATTCATTTGTAAGATTCTCCTTTCCTCTTCTTTTTTAAAATTTTTCATTTTTTTCTTTCCTATTCTTTATCAATATCCTGTCCTAAAGTGTTGCTTTCATCCTAGGATGTAGTATAAAAATAACTTGTGAGAAAGGATAATGCCTCCAGCGTTGGTCCTGATAAATGAAGGAAAAAAGAATTTAACCACATAAAAGAAGTGTTTGAAAAAGAAAAAAGGATTGAGGAAAATTGAGCATACACAGTGGATGACTAATAGCTATTTAAAAGGAGCTTAGTCAGTTAGCACGAGGTTGACAACTAATTTTATTTGCCCTTTGCTTAAAGTTCTGGATGGTGATGGTGTGTGTGTGTGTGTGTGTGTGTGTGTGTGTGTGTGTTCGAGCATGCCTGCACATGCACATCCTGGAGCTAGGAAGGTAACAGAACTAAGGCCCTCCTCAAGAGCAGTACACACTCTTAACTTCTAAGCCCTCTATCCAGCCCCTCCCCCATTTTATGTGAGCGCATTGGTGTATTTGAGTTTGTGTTTGTGTGTTTATCTATGTGTGTTTGTATATGGGTTTGTATGGGGGTAGTTGTGTGTGTTTGCACACGCCTTTTTCTTAAGTTGACCATTGTTTTGGAAGAATCAGCTGGAAGCCACATTTTTTTCCTTCAGAAGCCCATTTTTATAACCAATCTCCAGAGGAGTTGCCATACTGGTTCTGAGATTTTCAAGGTAGGCTCGCATCACTTGAGTTCTGTTGGGGAACTTCTGCCCTGTTGTGTCTTATTATGGTTCTCCTTGAGATCTGTAAACTGCAAGTTTCCTGTATTCACACCATGTGGAGGAAAGGAACTAAGAACCTGGGCTTGCAGCACTGTTCCTACCATCTGCCCAATGCTCATCAAAATCCTTTGTGGGGCTACAGCTCAGTGGTAGAGCACTTGGCTTGCCTGGCATGCATGAGATGCCTACTCCCTCTACTCCAGTAAAAACAGATAGATGCAAAACATCTTCATCTCAGTACTGAAATCCAAAAACAAAATCCAACAGATCTTTTAGTTTAGTGTCATCTGTATTCTTGAGACACAGTCCCTTGATTTCTTCCACTGAAGCTGTGTCCCATTTTGTCAGTTGCCTACTGTACTGTGGATAGTAGGCATTTATTTCTCTGTGTGCTAGTGTTAATAATGGATGGGTCATGTGAGCACAGGCAGGTGTCCACCCATCATGGTCCATCCGGGGTTTGAGATTCTCACACAAATCATTCACAGCGGAGTAAGCACCCAGGGAGTGCTGGCACAGTTGTGTTGATCTGGAGAGCCCTGGGGTATGTCTGTCATTGTCATCTATCTGTCCTGGTTCAGCCAAGAGCACCATAGAAGCTATGATGTGGGCATTGGAGTCCTACAGTGCAACTTCTGAACTTGTGTTCTTAAAGATTCTTTCCATATATTACATCTAAGACAAGGTTAGAAAAGGCAAGGCTATCTTTAGTGGTCTGGCTGAGGGGAAGACATTCTGATATCTTGTATATACTCTGTATGAGGGTGTGGGATATTCTGGAGCTGGAAATACAGACAGTTGTGAGCTGCCATGTGGATGCTGGGAATTAAACCCAGGTCCTTTGGAAGAGCAGCCAGTGCTCTTAACCGCTGAGTTATCTCTCCAGGCCTGACATTCTGATATCTTTAGGCAAGTATTTGGGGATTCAAAGGGCACTAGTGGCCAGTGAAAACATGTGGCGCCTAATTTTTGTCACAGACATGTTAGGAGACTTTCTCTAATTTGAAATACCCTGGTGATTTTTTTTCCTTCTCCTTTTCTGCTTCCTTTCTTTGTGTTCCCAAGGTTTGTCTCATTCCTAAGTCAGCACATGGAACGAATCCAGCAAGTGCCTACATGGCAGGCATGGAGATCCAGCCTGTGGAGGTGGACAGATACGGGAACATTGATGCCGCTCACCTCAAGGCCATGGTACTCACTCACTCTCCCCTTCACAGATTGGAGCCGTCTGGGCTGGCAAGACACAGGTGGTGGTGATGGGGCACAGGGAGTATATGGATGGTGTAAACATTGCCTTCTCTTGTATGTTATTGAAAGACAACAATTCCTCCTCTGAATGGGTCTGTGGGAAAGAGTACAAAATCCAAAAAAAAAAACCCAAAAAACAAAAAACAACCAACCAACCAAACAAACAAACAAACAAAAACCCTAACAATCTTTAAGGGAAAGAGAAAAATAAAAAGCAATTGTATTTTGGGTCCCCATTTAAAACTGGCCGTGTCTACTCTCCCCCTCACTCCCTGGCAGAGAAGGGTCTTTTCACTGGGCCCTTCATACCCTGATTCTTCCACTTGAAATACAACGAGCGATGTATTCACTGTGATACCTTCATAAGAAGCCTCCACTGGCTGTCCTCATAGTCCTCCATTTCCAGTCACACAGACAGTCATGGATGTTGGGAATTAAAGTAAGCATGACACATTCCCATTTTTGTAAATGTCCCAGCCGTGCTGTACTGGATCCCAGGCAACATTCTACCCTGTTTCCTCCAACACCAACCCCCACTCCCAGCCTCCCAACCTCCAGGAAGAGGTTGCTTAGCAACAGTATCTGTTTTCCACCAGTGGACTAGAGGCTGCATGTTAAGTGGTAGGGAAATCGGTAGAATAGCGATGTGACTGTGTCAGGGTTATTAGGCACGGGTACTGAAAACCTACGTAAAAGCCTTCAAAAGGGCGCTGAAATGTAACAGCCCTGCACATCTTTTCCATTCCCCTCTTTCCATTGCCTTCTCTTTTTAACCACAAATATTCTGGGTCGTTTACTGTAGTTATTAGGATTGTCCAATATAGAATATGTGGACTATGACTTGATTTTTCTTCCACATCACCCTGCTCTGACTTGCTAGGCAAGAAAAAAAAAAAAAAAAAAAAAAAACCCAAACCTAGAAATTATTCTTTATTTGTCCAATTGCTTTTTTGGGAGATAACAGTGAGAGAAGTACGTGTACTGAGGTAGTTCTCAACCCACTGAGGTGGGTCACAACCCCTTAGAGGGGGCAAACAACCCATTCACAGGCTTGCCTAAAGATCACCTGTACACAGATATTTACATTACGTTGGTTGTTAAAAGCAGCAAAATTACTTATGAAATAGTAGTGAAAATAATTTTATGGTTGGGGGTCACCACAACATGAGGAACTGTGTATTAAAGGGTCACTGGCATAGTGGCACATACCTGTATCACCAACACTTCACAGAAGAGTCAGAAGTCTAAAGCCATCCTTGGTTACATGTAGGTAGGAAGCCAGTCTGAGCTGCCTAAGATCCTGTCTCCAAAACACAACAATGTGGGGGAGATTTTTATAGGAAGTGTAACACTTCCAGGAGTCTGTGAGAGGGAGGGTAAGTGAGAAAGTATACACCAAAAACAAACAAACAAACAAGAACAAACGGAAAAGCTAGCTGGAAGATTAGCCATGTACAGAGATACCTCCCCACACCTGCCCAATAGCCTGGAATAATTTTTGAGGTGGCTTGAACCAAAGCAGAACCATTTTACAGGACTGGACCCAAAATATCCAAAAAGCTCCTGAGCAGCCTCTTGCTTTTTGTTTAATTTATGTTGAGACACAGTCCCATGTATCCCATTCTAGCCTCAGAGTTGCTGTGTAGCCAAGGATACCCCCTCCCTCCCCAATGCCATGGTTATGGGAGTGTTCCACTATGCCTAGTTTTTTATTTGGTACAGGGAGAAAGCCTAGGGCTTTGCACATGCTAGCTAGACCCTTATCAACTGAGCCACAGCAAAGCTGGATTTCTTTATCTGGACCACAGAATCCTGAGAGGACTTGCGGCTGCTTTGGGATGATTTCTGAAGGAGCAGTTGACTGTGCATTTTAAGCACTGTTGTAGACTGAGATGTTGTCAACAATTCAAACACAGAGACTTTGCATTTCCTAGCCCTTTAAAATAAAAAAGCAGTCTTGGCTGAGAAAGGATCACTTGCTCTCATCACTATTCTCCCCACAGGTGGATAAACACAAGGAGAACCTGGCCGCCATCATGATCACGTATCCATCTACCAATGGTGTGTTTGAAGAGAACATCAGCGATGTGTGTGCCCTTATTCACCAACACGGAGGCCAGGTCTACCTGGACGGGGCAAATATGAATGCCCAGGTGAAGACACTTATTCCTACTGAGAAAATGGATAATGATATTTTATTTATTTATTGTTAATTTTTAAAATATTGATTACTTTATGAGTGTTTTGCCTGAATGTATGTATGCGCACCAGTGTGCTTGGAGCTCACTGACGTCAAAAGCAGACATCAGATCCCCTGGAACTAGAGCTCACACATGGTGGTGAAACACCATGTGGGTGCCTGGACCTGAACTCAGGTCCCCTGCAAGAGCAGTAAGGATCTTTACTTCGGAGCCATCATTCTAGCCCTGTTTGGTTTTGTTTTGTTTTGCTTTGGTTTGGTTTTTGAAGCAAGGCCCTAAGCTTATCCTCAGCAAGGAAAACAATTCTCTCTTGGCTTCTTGAGAGTCCTCTTTGACACGAGACACTGAATTCAGAACCAAGGTTCTGTTCTTTCCCTTTTCCTTTTCTGTGTGATGCTGGGGATCAAATCCAAGGCTGTATGTAAGTGATTCTGTGAGGCCATCAAGTTGACTTTGCTGCCAGCCTTTCATAGGCCAAATCAGTTCCAATAGGGATTATAGATCCTAGAGGAGGTAATGGGGTGAACAGGGTACAAAAGTTGAAACAAAGCAGCGCTAGGGACAAACATGCTTATGTTGTCAGGAGTGCCGTTCCTCTGAGGACATACCTGGGCCAGGTCTCCTGATTTCCCTAGCTGATGAAGTTTAGAACCAAGTACTAGCCATGCTAGATGCCAAACTCCCATGGACCTGGAGTTTTAACTTCACTGGGACCCCAAGGGATTCAATCCTGCCTACTCCAGGTTGCAGGAGTGACCGAGAGTCTATGTAATGTGAGCACCTGCCCCTTACTTCTCTCCTTCTTTAGTGATTCTATTCATAAGTGTCATTCTGGAATTGCCTTCTGCTTTGGCAGCCTAAAGCAAACATATCTGTCCACAGTCAAAGTGGCGGGGTTACCACTTGAATACTGTAGCTGGGTATCTGGATTGTCTCAGGAAAACTGGTAGCCCCATTCCCACTTTCTCAGTTTGGCATCCTCTAGACCAGTCACGACCTTTCAGGGGTTGAACAATCCTTTTGCAGGGTTCCCAAATCAGATATTTCTATTATAATTCATAACAGTAGCAAAATTACAGTTATGAAGTAGCAATGAAAATAATTGTATGGTTGGGGTCACCACAGCATGAGGAGCTGTATGAAAAGGGACAGCATCAGGAAGGTTGAGAACCAGGGCTTTAGGCACTTTCAAGGGGCCATGTAGCCAAGCACATAATAAACACCCAGCCTTGAATTTGCCTGAGAATGTGGTGCCAAAGCAGCCTCCTGTTCAATAGTAACTTCAGGGTTAGTGGCATTTCCTCTCCTCCCTCTTTGGTTTTTCGAGATCGAGTTTCTCTGTGGCTTTGGAGGCTGTCCTGGAACTAGCTCTTGTAGACCAGGCTGGTCTTGAACTCACAGAGATCCGCCTGCCTCTGCCTCCCGAGTGCTGGGATTAAATTTGTGCACCACCACCGCTCAGCCCTCTCTTTTCTCTTAAGGTAGACATTTAGGTACAGACTACCCAAGTATGTATTTTAAATGGAGCTACATGGTCAGTTGCTGTTTCCATAGAAACCACAGTCACTTTGCCTGGGAGATGTCAGGTTGACTGCAGAACCTATAGGAATCCTTATTGATATTTTAAAATTACACCGTGTGTCTGCACAAGCGGATGTCAAAGGACAACTTGTAGGAGTCAGTTCTCTTCTGTTCGTTCATTGTGTGTGTGTCCTGTCGATCGAACTCAGGTTGTCAAACACCTTTATCCACTGAGCCATTTCACTCCCTAGGAAGCCTTTTCTGTGATCATTATGGATGTGGCTCTGCCTGCTTTCCTGGGAAGACAAACATCACAGAACAGTTTGCCCTTCCCTCATCAGGAGGGACCTTGCCAAGCTCTGATGTTTACTCTTCTCTTTCCCTTTGGGGTAGGTGGGCATCTGCCGTCCTGGAGACTTTGGGTCTGATGTCTCTCACCTAAATCTTCACAAGACCTTCTGCATTCCCCATGGAGGTGGCGGCCCTGGCATGGGGCCTATTGGAGTGTAAGTCGTGGGCTGCTGGCTGAAGGATCCTTTCAGAAGCAGGATGGCCCTAACCATGTTGTTCTTCCCATCTGGGTCTTCAAGTATGGAGAATATTTTATAGGCAGTGTGCCCTCCCCACAGCTGGATGCAGAGCAGGGCAAGCAGCATTTTTAGAGTGTGTCCAAAGAAAGCACAATTGTCTTAGTAACCCCACTGTGTGTGTGTGTGTGTGTGTGTGTGTGTGTGTGTGTGTCCTGCCTCGCTGAGCTCTAGAGTAAGCTTGTCAACAGTCATGAGCAGGAACTTTTCTAGTGTGAGAGGTCAGAACTAAAGTGTGAGCTCCTGTGTCACAGATTTGCACCTAGATTTCCAAGAGCTTTATAAAAACATATGTATTTTCCTCATTTCCTAGAACATGAGTAGCTGGTAATATTGAGAGTAAATTGGATGGAAGGCACTTAACTCCTTACAGCTTTAATTTTTATTACATCTGTGATAAGTAAGGAGGAAACAAACTTTATTGCTAGAGATAATTGGATGAAGTCACTGTTTACTGAAGGAATATTTCTTAGCAGTTGATAGCATCCTCTCTACAGTAAGAACAGCCTTACCCAGAACATCTGGAGTTTCCTTTCTTTTTGATTTTTATTTTTTCCAGACACGGTTTCTCTATATAACAGCCCTGGCTATCCTGAAACTCACACTGTAGTCCAGGTTGGCCTCAAACTCTCAAGAGATCTGACTGCCTCTGCCTTCCGAGTGCTGGGGTTGAAGGTGTGTGCCACCACGGCCTGGCTGTTCTGGAGTTTTCGGGATGTGTGGTGGTGGTCAGGGAAGGGCAGTGTTCAGGGTTGCTGGGAGCCTGACTTTCTTGCTTCTCCTTTGATTTGTATTATGAGTGGGTGTTCTGGGTGGTTCAGAGGGTGTGTAATGGTATGGTGTTAATGTGTTAGCCTCCAAGTGGAGTGTCCAAGGCATCTCTTTGGCAGCCTTCTCTACCCAGTAGACAGCTTTAGAAGGATGTGGAGGCTGCTATGAGAGACCTCTGTAGGCCTGCCTCTGAGAAGTCCTCCACCACAGTTCTTGGAAGCTGTTAGGTGGCAGAAAAGGGAGGAAGGAATCTAGAGATCTCTCCTTAGTTGTTTCCTTGTTGTCTGTCTCCCAAGAAGTGTCAAGTCCCTACAACCATCAGCTTGCCCCTACTGAGATTAGAGTTCCTAGAGTACCACCCATTTAGTTCAATTGTATCTTTTTGCATCATTTCAATGTGTACTTTAAAACCAACACAGGAAGAAGCATCTGGCTCCTTTTCTGCCCAGTCATCCCATTGTTTCCATAAAACCGAATGAGGACACCTGGCCGGTGGGGACTGTCAGTGCCGCCCCATGGGGCTCCAGTTCCATCTTGCCCATTTCATGGGCTTATATTAAGGTGAGGCCTGTGAACTTGTGTTGCTATGGGACTTGAGACTTTCTCAGAGGGTTAAAAATGAAGGAGTCTGTGACTTGAGAGTAGGATTCAGTGAACACTGCTGGTGACTGGGGTCACTGCCAGTACTGGGGTGGAAGAAATCCTGTAGAAGACCAGCTAAAATTGTTTCATCTGTTCCTTTGGGTTCTCGTGATGGGTTTACATTTTTCCAGACACAATTAAGTCCCATGAGTCATGTGAATGTACTGGCCACAATATGTGGTTTCCTGTCAGCCTCAGACAGAGAGCCACACAAGCGAAAAGCCGTGCACATAGTCATTATGACACTTTGCTGAGACCCTGGCGAACATGTTAGGGGGCATTTCACTTCACATTGTGTGTCTTGTCAGCTCGGAGGATGAGAAGAGAAGCAACGGGAATTTGTTTGGGGGTGGTTTCCAAAGCGCTGCACTTCAGGGCCTAGGGAACTGTGTTTTCAGGGGTAATTGGGCTTTGTCAGAGAACAGGCTCCCCCCTCCCCTTTGTCTTTCTCCACAGAAACACTCAAGCCAGAACTGATTTTATGCAGCTTGTTAAGACTGGCCTGCCACCTCCTAGAATGTCAAGACTGGATAGGCACAGTTGCTAATTAAAGAAGCTTTTTCAAGCCGATGGCCTTTGTTAAAGGAAGGGTGGCCGCTGCTCAGACAACCCCAAACTAAGCTACACAAATTGTTCTGGGTGACTGCAGAGCTAGCCGGCTATTAGTGAATTCAGTGACATTTATGATTCTTCATTTTTTTAAAAGTGCATTTTCTGTTTTGAGCCACAGCCTCCTTATACTGTTTCATCTGGACACAAGTATAGGACTATAGGCATGAATGGGTCGCCATAGCTAACTGGCATTTATGATTCCTCTTTAGATGAGATCTTGAGACATTGTTTATTGTATGTGTATGGGTGTTTTGCCTGTTATATCTGTGCACACCGTATCTATGCAGTGGCTGTTGGGTGCATCAGATCCCCTGGGATTGGAATTATGGATAGGTATGAGCTACCACATGGGCCCTGGAAATTGAACTTTACTGCTGAGCCATCCCTCCGGCCCCATGATTCTGTTTTTGTTTATGTTTTTTTCCCTTCCTAGTTTTGTTTCTGAGATTGGGTCACATGTATAAAAGCTGTCTTTGAGCAGCTAATCTAGCCATCTATATTGCCCAAGTGCTAGCTTTGCAGGCGTGTGTCTCCATGCACAGCCAGCACCATTTGTGATTGTAGTGAAAAGTTTCTTGGAAGCAAGAGCAGCAGTTCTGTACCTCGGAGCTTTGAAGCTTCCTTTAAAACATCAGGCAAGTTGTTTGCAAACTAGAGGAACAAAAACAATGAGAAAGAAAAATCTGCTTCTTTGCAAACAGCCAAATCCCCAGTTCCCTTTGATCCATGAGTTACATAAATATGGATTATTTGTCCAAACATTTGGGCCAGAGATGGCTTCTTACATATAGAAAATAAAGGCCCCTAAGGCTGTTTTGGCCATATGCCTAGAACACAGAACAGAGCAAGAGTTTTAAAACAAAATAAATAGTGTTTATTTTAGCCTTATTTCAGGCTGTTACTTCTCCCCTAGACACTAGTTGGAGCCTCCTCCTCCTCTAATGCACTGTGGAAACTCTCTAAGGATAGTCTCTCCCTGCCCCCCACACGCCTCCTGACTTCCCACCATCTTCACTACCTGGTCTCACCAGCATGTGCTCCCACTCCACTGAGAATAAAATCCAACTGATGGGGACGTGTGCTTAGAGCATTTAGAGACTGATGCTCGGTAACCGACACGTAGCATGACAAGAAGCAGTGGGCTGGACCTAGCCCATGTCAAAGCAAAGGCTTAGAACATGAGGTCCCAACCCATGTTGCTATGGTGACTTCCAGATGACAGTCATGTGCCTTTCCCACACTTGTGCCGTGGTCAGTCCTCTCTTTTGGCACGATTCCCCTTTCCCTTTAGAAATACAGCCTCCACTCATGGACTCACTTTCAAGGTCATGGTAGAGTTCAGCTTTGTCTTTAGAAAGCCTACTTTGACTAACCTGGGGCCACGTTGTTCTCTCTTTGCTTTGGACTTTGTAGCACTGTTTTATTCAGTTAAGTACTTGGATGTGAGGTCACTCAGTCATGAACGTTGGTGTAATCTTGACTTTAAACCCTTTGCTCTTGGTGACGTTTATCCTGGATGACAGCAGGGAACTCAACCACCAGCATGAGAAGAGATTGAATCTGGCAGTTGGCAAACATGACATGAATAATGTTTATGTTCCCCACTGCAGACAATGGAATGGCAAACCACACAACATTGATGTGATGGATTTTGACCAAGCTCTCAACAGATTCCCCAGAAGTTTCATCATTACATCTCAAATTCATAGTAAACACAAAAATAAACATTGCAACTCTTCTAGCCTAAAGAACAGTGCTTTTTCCTCTTCAGGTAGCAGTGGTATGCAGACAGCTGAGCCCTGCTGTAGGCTCTGTTATATGACCTCTACCCACCCACACACACCCCAAAACAAATAAAATTAGTGCTTAAAGAACAAAAATTCTTTCAGCATGGAGGAGACTGACACATCTCCTTCCTGGAATTTCCATTCATTTTCAATCTACAGTGGCAGTGAACTCTTTTGGTTATTGTTTGTTTGTTTGTTTGTTTGTTTGTTTTTCTGATACAGGATTTCTCTGTGTATCCTTGGCTGTCCTGGAACTCGCTCTGTAGACCAGGCTGACCTCAAACTCAGAGATCTGCCTCCCATTGCCTCCCAAGTGCTGAGATTAAAGGTGTGCGCCACCAATGCCCGGCCTGGTGAGCTCTTTTGAGTGAATTTAACTGGGGGCATCTGCTTAGTGTCTTGACCATTCACCTCACCCAGTCAATGGTTGATAGCTCTTTTTCTCTTTGTTGCAGATGATGGGAAGCAAGGGTCTCAAAGAGGCCACAGAAATTGCTATTTTAAATGCCAACTACATGGCCAAGCGATTAGAAAAACACTACAGAGTCCTTTTTAGGGGTGCAAGAGGCAAGTATCAACTCTTTGATTTTCTTTTTCTTTCTTTTCTATTTTATTTTTGTCCCTGCAGGCAAACTATGCTTGATGTAAATGTGATTTTGCAAGGTGGGGGCGGGGGGAGGCTTCTATTTCTTAGAATATACAAAGGAGAGCGTAGAATTCTTGGGAAAATAGCCAACTTACTCATTACTGTACATAGGACCATCCCAGCCTAGTCTACACAGCCTAGTTAGCAAGGGGTCTAAATCACAGACAGAGATATTCACATAAACACCATGAGCTGATCTTTCACAGAGTGCTGTAGAAGTGTCTCGGGGAGTGAAACCACTTGGACTAGGCAGAGTCTGGGTGGAATAGTTTGATAAAGAAAGCAACTATTTAATATGTGCAAGCAAGCATACAGGAGCCAGCCAGGTAAAGAGGAAGGAGTTCCTGTAGCGTGTGCTTGACTTGAAGTGGGATACGAGGAGAGGGCCCCAATGAGATGAGCTTGGCACCTTGGAGATCTTGGAAGAATCTAGACTTAGAACCCCTGACTCAGACCATAGCCCTTAAAGGTTTCCCAGCTTGAGGAATGACGTGATTAGATTGATTAAAAGGCTGAAATTGTCAAGGCGATGAGTTGAACGGGTTCTTGGAAGTACAATCAGTTGGACTTAGTTACTGGTTAGTGCAGTATGTTAGGTAAACATCTAGACTTACATTAGAGAGTAAAGCCAACCTAGAAGTGATAGGTGATGGACGTAAGAAGCAGGAAGGGGGGGCCTAGAGAAGGCTTAGCAGTTAATAGCACATTTTGCTGCTCTTCCAGAGGACCCGAGCCATGTTCCTAGCACAACCACCTGCAATTCTAGTTCCTGGAGATCCGATGCCCTCTTCTGGCCTCTGAGGTCACCTGTAAAGATGTGGCACACACACACACACACACACACACACACACACACACACTAAAAATAAAAAAGAACCAGGTAGATAGTAAGAGATGTGTCTGCTCTAGTTGTGGAAGGAGAAACAAGGAAAGGACACTTGAGAAAGGAGAGCAAAGCGCCTCTAGCAGATAGTGGCATTTAGGATGATCAGTGGTACCTGCTTGGGCTCTTGGCTCCTCCAGCCCAGACAGAGTGTACATCCACATTGCCTATAATCTCTAAAGTAAAGGCCGCTCTGGCCTTATAAGTATGGATCCAAGGGAGAACTTCAGGAGTTGGCAAATAGAAACAAGTGAATAACCAGAAGCCCTGGGTAGATGCTCGCCAGAGAGTAGAGAAGGGTGTGAGGAATATGCTCCAAGCAACACAGAAAAATGCTTCTGCAGGCACTAATTAGCTCAAATATAGCTCCTGTACTGTGGAATGAATCCTGATGTGTGTTTGCTTTAATGATTAGCTTAAACATTTATTTTGTCTGGTTATAAAAGTGAAATATATGGATTGTTCAATTCAGAAGTTTTGGGAAATAAAAAAGCATGAGAAAGAAAATCTAAATACTTGCATCCATCAGCCAGATAAAGCTACCATTTAATGCTCGGCTATCTCCCTTCCTCATTACTCTTGAACATTAGACTAACATCACAAATTCGGTTTGGGGATTTTTTAATGTCTCTGTGTGAGAGAGTGTACAGTAAGGGAAGGGGACTATGCTCCCTTATGGGCACATGTGGGAGCCAGAGGTTGTCATAGAGGTGCCTCCTGCAGTAGCTCATTCACCTTATGTTTTGAGACAAGGTCTCTCAGTGGACCTGGAGCTCACCATTTCAGCTATCAGCCAGGTTGGCTGACTAGCAAGCCTCTGGGGTCAACCCAGCTTTACACACACAGACACACACACACACACACACACACACACACACACACACACACACGCCCACGCGCGCAGGCATGCACACACACATACCCATCATCTAATGTCTTTTTACAGCATTTGCACACTGAGACATCTACACAGCCCCACAAAATAGTATCTATTCTATTTTTGTGAGCATTTTCTCAATTGACTAAATATGCTTTGACCTTACAGTGTGGATGACATTGTGTGACTGCCCTGTGAGTCTAGTTATATTCTCAATTGTTTACATTATAACATTGCTACAAGAACAACCCTTCCAGTAGTTTTTTTTTCTTTCTTTTTTAAAGAAAAAAAATCTGATTATTTCTTTAAATAACTGATAGAAAAGGGTATGGATGCTTTAAACTTTTTACACATGTGTCCTCAATTATTTCCCCAGATACACTGTGCTAATTATTTTATGCTAGTAGCATTGAGAGTGACCACACCAAGAGTCTATCGAGAATAGACTGAAAAAACAACAAAAGTTAAAAAAAAAACCTTTGCCAATTTCATGAATGAAAGATATTATTGTTTTGATTTATAATACTTAAGTTGAAGTTTTTCTTTGATTTCTTTATTATTTATTGATAGTAGTACTAGGTTTCAAACCTAGGGCTTCATGCTTGCTAGGCATGCGCTCTACCAATGAGCTGTCTCAGTCCTTGATTTTTTTTTTTTATGTTTAACTTTTGGCAGCATAACTGAGGTAGAATTAATAAACCTTTCATACAATTTGCTCATTTAAGCTGCATAATTCAACAGCTTTTAATATGTCCACTGACTGCAAAGTCTAGATTTAAAAGAAGGAAATAATGACTTAAACTGAATGGGGGCGACTGGCACCCATGAGAGAAGGTCAGATGTCACCATGCACTTAGCATTTATGTAGTGAGTGGCTTTGGGCACAAAGCCCCACCCCATCCTGTGGGACTTAAAAGTACAAAAAGATGGATGAAATTTCCATTTGTTTTGACAGTTTACCCCAGAATTAAATTGCAAGTAGCATTTCTCATCCCAAACTGAAATGAATGGTGATTATAGACTAGATTTCTCAATCTTAAAATTGGTCAAACCAAACATTGCCCCATATTGGCCTGCTAAATACATTTGTTACACAATTTGAAATCTCATATTTTAGAGCCTGGGAAACCAGCACCATTGTACCTCCTGGGAGTCAAAATAGCAATGTTTTCAATAATCACATTGTATTCTAACGTGTCCAGCAGCACTAGTGGAAGACCAATGCTCGTCTTAATCATATTTACTGGCACTAAGTCAGACTTTGGAATGACAGATGCCTGCGAGGCAATCATTTTAACGAACTCCAGGCTTACCAGCATCAGCTGGGTCTCTGAGATTTCAATGCTGACTAAACTCTCTAGGCTAACGGCTTTTGAAGCAAACAGACACGACAGGCAAGATTTAGGTAGAGAAGCTGCAGAAGTAGTTATTCTTCTAGGATTATTGTTTTGTTGGTGGTGTTGGTCTGTCTCTTTTGTTAGATGGTTTGTAGGATTTTTTTTTTTTGTGTGTGTGTGTGTGTGTGTGTGTGTGTGTGTGTGTGTGTGTGTGTGTGTTTTGTTTGTGTGTTTGGTTTTTTGTTTGTTTGGTTGGTTTGGTTTTTCAAGAGAAGATTTCTCTGTGTAGCTTTGAAGCCTGTCCTGGCAGTCTCCCTGTAGACCAGACTGGCCTCGAACTCACAGAGATCCACCTGCCTCTGCCTCCCAAGTGCTGGGATTAAAGGTGTGTGCCTCCACTGCCTGGCTCCCTCCTCCCTTTTTTTAATATAGTATTTTCATTAATTCTAAGAGAACTCCATACATGCACATACAATGTATTTTGATTGTATTTACTCCCAATTCCTCCTCCCCCAAATTTACCCTCATCTTCCTACCTTTTCCCAACTTGGAGTCCCTTTTTTTCACACCACCCTCCCAATTCAACAAGTCCAATTTATGTGTAGGTGTGGTGCCGCTTGTTCGTGGTCCACCTACCAGAGGCCACACCTTCAGACTCTCCCCCAGAATTGGCTCCTGAGCTAGGAATGCTGGCCACTGTGTTCTGTAGGTCTCGTTCAGGCACCCTACAGCTGCTGTGAGTTCACGATGGTCCTGTCATCTTGAGAAGACGCTGTGTTTCCACAGTGACTCTTCTGATCTCCCCACCTCCTCCCCCTTCCCGTTTTATGCTCCTCTGACTTGGTATCTTCACACTGTTAGCCACTGCCCTGGTTAGGCCTAGAGGAAACAGCAGCTATCTTAGATTTCCCCAACCTACCATATGCCACAGTAAACCTGTACATCTTTTTCTTGAGTCTGCAAAGAAAGAAGAGTATCTTGGGATCCATCTCCTGATAGCCACCAAGTTGAAATGCTATGTCTTAGAGAGAGAGGGATGCTCTTGGGATGAGAGTGTGCATGTAGAAAGTAACATCTGAACCTCATTTTTGGAACAGTGCTCTTCCCAAACCACTTGTCTGTGGTAGTGGGCCTGCAGATGGAATCTTGGGTTTAGCGGCGCTGGGCTGGGTTGACTTGGTCAGATGGACTTTCAGCTATTGCCACTGAACCTCTGCTTGCAAGATTCTCCTCTGAGCCTGCCAACAAATGACTATTCTGCTGCTGACGTACGTTCCCAGCCTTGGGCTAGCCACAGGCCCTTCGGAACAGTAAACATCACTGGTCATCTTCTTGCCAGGGCTGTAGTGACCAGGGTAGCAGCCAGAAGAGAAACGGCATAGGCTGACACTGGACTCTTAAGAATCCTGAAATTAGGAGTCAAAAAAGTCTCAGGGTTTTTGTGATTTTTTTTTCTTCCTCAGACTTTCTAATGGTTATTCCATTGAGCACATTTTTCTAACTTTACTCACCCAGAAATAGACCTTTCTAGTTTTGAGTCTCATTCTTAACCAGTTCCTTTCTTATCATTGTTAGAAACCATATTTTTAAAAATAGATAGCTTTAGTGTATTAAGTCTCACACTTATACTCCTGTTTTCAGACTAAAGCCATCCTTGCTGTGTTTATTCATTGTAAAAGAAGCAGAGTGGTTCAGACTGCCTTCAGGGGCTGTCAGTGACTGGGTTTTTTTGTTTGTTTGGTTGGTTGTTTTTTTTTTTTTTTTGGTGTTTTTGAGACAGGGTTTCTCTGGGTAGCTTTGGAGCTTTGTAGACCAGGCTGGCCTCGAACTCAGAGAGATCCACCTGCCTCTGACTCCAAAGTACTGGGATGAAAGGCGAGTGCCACCACTGCCTGGCCAACTGGAGTTATTTTGGAATGCTGGTTTGTCAGTGGATTCATCGTTGGCGCGAGCTGACAAGACAGGTTATTTGGTTTGGTCTGATGTACATGTTTCTGGGCCGTATGTGTATGCTGTGAGCATGTGAGTGTGTGGGCAGGCATGCACGTGTACCGGGAGGTCACAGCAGGATGTTGGGTACCTTTCTTTGTCGCACCTTGAGGTGTTTAGGCTGACTAGCCTGTGAGTTCTTGGGTTCTACTCCATCTCCCCCCACACCTGCTACCACCCTTGCTGGAGGATACAGGCGTACATTGCTGTGCCCAGATTTTACATGGGTGCTGGGGATTTGAACCCAGATCCTCATAGAGTGAGTATTCTTACCCATTGGCCCGTCTTCCTAAGCTTGTAAAACCAAATAAAGACACTTATCAATGTTGATTGATTATTAAAGCTGACCTACTTTCACCGGTTTATTCATACAGATTTTATTTTCATTCTTTTAAATTATGTATATTGTATGTTTCTGGGTGTGGGTTTTGCAGAATGCATTTCCCTCAGAGACCAGAAAAGGGCAACAGATTATCTGGAGCTGGAGTTTAGATAGCTTTGATCTGCCTGACATGGGTGCTGTGAACCAAATTCGGGTCCCCTGGAAGAACTGGAAATGCTCTTGTCCACTTAGCCATCTCTCCCGCCTATCACCAGTTTAGTTAGTAGCTCCCGATGGGTGTAGAAGAGCAGTCTGTTTACAAAATAGATTGAAGTGAACTGACCCCATAGATTTCAATCTCATGGATTGTTTGACAGTGCCCCCCTTCTCCCACTTTCTTTCCTTTCTCTTGTCTCTATTCTTTCTTGTGGGATTTTGTTTTAAGACAAAGTCTTGATTAACAGCCTCAAATGTATGGTTCTCCTGCCTCTGCCTAGTTCGAGGACTACAAGTAGGCACCACCGCATCTGGCTAGCAGTGCTTATTTCTAATACTTGGTCTACAGTCTGAAATCAAAATATTTGAACACTCCTTTGAAAAATCATATAAAAGTATATATGTGTTCTGTGAATATGTGTGTATTGACATTTCCTTACGGAGAAAGTTATTTAACCTTGAAAGTGAATACTGATGAATGCACCCATGAACCTTTAGCTCTAGAGAGAATTTGTATTAAAGGATCAGGATTGTATTTAACCGTTCCAAGTAGATTTTTAAGTCTTCAGAAGAGAAATTCTGGCTATCTCCTGCTACGTGTTCTAGTAATGCCCCTACCTCCCTTCATCCAATGCCAGGGTCACTGGTGTGCGGTGAACTGCAATCAGATGTGCTTGTGATAGAGTAGCTGAAGTCTTTATTGCCAACTATGACCTTATCAAGTTCTCGTAGACGCTTGGTCCCCTGGGCTACAGAAAGAGCTGAATTGCTTAGTTGTCCATTTGAGTGAAACAACAAGCTGATACTCAACTTCACCTGACACTGTGTTCTTGAACAGGGTACGTGGCTCATGAATTTATTTTGGACACAAGACCCTTCAAAAAGTCTGCCAATATTGAGGCTGTGGATGTTGCCAAGAGGCTCCAGGATTACGGTAAGTGGCTTTTGACAGTCGCACAATTGTTCTAACAGGCTATGGACCATTTCCTAGAAGCATAAATGGAGGTACAGTCACCTGGTAAACTAACCAATGGTGTAAGTGGGACAGCCTTCAAAACCACAATGAAAGACTGACTCCCCCTGTGGTTACACACTCCTTTCTGCCCTGCAAAAGATATCCATGTGCATCTTGTGGAATGTCAAACAGTCAAGATGTCTCGTTAAAATTTAAATCCCAGCTGGGCAGTGGTGGTGCACGCCTTTAATCTCAGCACGTGGGAGGCAGAGACAGGCAGATCTCTGAGTTTGAAGCCAGCCTAGTCTACAGAGTGAGTCCAGGAAAGCCTGGGCTATAAAGAGAAACTCCATCTAAAACAAAACAAAAAACAGTAAATCCCAAAGAAAATGATTGCTATTGCTCTTTGCCTAATAACGTCTCACTCCTCTCCTGGGCCTGGTGAAGAGCTCGTGAAAAGGCAGGCTGGTAGGTGAGGAGGGGACTAGAGCAAAAGCAAGTCACCTGCAGAAGTGGAGAGCCAGGTGACTCTGGGGTTGCTGTATCAGCTGCTTCCGAACATGAAAAGCAGGCATGTATTTTGCACAAAAAAACAGATTCCTTTCTCTGAAGAGGTCTAAACCTCTTCTAGGTATTATGGGGTTCATTTATCAAGGTCCTGGTTTCAGCTTCCACTGTGGATCCTTCAGCTCTCAGAAATGTGAGGGTGTCTTGAGTTTTTGCGTGTGTGTGTGTGTGTGTGTGTGTGTGTGTGTGTGTGTGTGTGTGTGTGTAGTGTAGTGTATGAGTGTGTACAAGTTCTTATGTGCACATGGGTGTCTATTTGCACATGTGTACCCATGCATTCACAGAGTGTCTTCCTCTATTACTATCCACTTGATTTTTCCAGACAGTCTCTCACTGAACCTGGAGCTCACTGATTTGGCTACACTGGCTGGCCAGCAAGCTCCGGGGATCCATTTCTCTGCCTTCCTCCTAGCTCTGGGATTACAGACGAGTACTACTCTGCCTGCTGGTGCTGGGGACCAGATTCAAGTCCTCAGGCATGCACATCAAGTACTTTACTCATTGGACCATTTGTCTATGAATAGATGTGGAATGCTATCTGAAGCTAGTAGCTTTTTCTTCCCCCACATGTTTGCAATTTGCCTACATGGATGTAAGTGCTGCACATGTGTGCCTAGGCCAGAGTCGGAAGAAAGTGTCAGATCACCTGGAACTGAAGTCTGAAGTTATAAGTGCTTGGTTGTAAGCCACCATGTGGGTACTGCATGCTGGGAATCGAACCTAGGTCCTCTGCAAGGGCAGGAAGTGCTTTTAACCACTGAGTCATCTTTCCAGCTCCTTAATGAGTTGTTTTAAGAAGAAATGTGCATTGGGGAATTCTAAACAGTTTACCGATGCATCTTCAAGAGAGGCCCACACATGACTCCCCATAAATGGATTATGCTATTGTGTAGAATCACACACAATAGACAGGAATAGCAGAGAAAGTGGTTATTAATGAAATTAACAGTCAGTTCCTCACTGTCTCTTCTTGGCAGCCCTTTGAGCTGACGGCAGCAGTCCCTGCCCCTTCCTTCTGGCTCCCCTCCTGGCCAGGGGTTGAGTAATGACCAGTTGGGGCCAGCACATGCATTTCTTAGATATGCTGTCTAGTTATGTACCTACTTGCAGCACATTCATAGGAAAGGAGAGACCAGGAAAAGTGGCCATTGAAGTTACTACCCATTATTTTCAAGTCCTAACATGCTCTAGATGTTAACACGATTCTGATGTTTGATGGAAAGATTTCCACCCTCGTCCAAAGCCCAGAAGTGTCCAGGTTCCTAGTACATAACATGTTTTCATAAGTGACAGTGACTAAATAGCCATGTATACTAAGAAACTGACAACTGGATCCTCAGGAGAGGCTTGGTCACCTATACACTTAGGAAGTACACTGTGTAGTAGCCTTCACAGCCTTTGGGGAACCCTATCTTGGGACCAACATTTCAAAATTATCCTAGCTTGCCAGGAGTTTCTAAGGCTTATGTTTTACCTTGGGTACCTCTCTTCCTGAGTTAGGGTCAAGATCCAGGATTCTGATTCTAGAATAATACGTGAATGGTTCCAGGGATGGATGATTCCAGATGTGGGAGCCACTAAAGTAGACTATTAATTAAATTTGCTCACACAAGGTATTGAGGACAGATTTAAATGGGTAATTAAATCAGTTTATGCTTTTAAAGAACAAAACAACTTGTCTCTGGTTAGGTCAGCTGTATGTTGTCAAAGCCCATTAAATGGTTTAACTAAGATGTGCATATTACATTGTAAGGTTTATTACGGAATACTCGAATACTGAATTTTAGTTACTGATGGACATTCTGAACTGCTTACAAAATGAAGTGTTCTGATAGTTGCAGTGTTCTTTGAATTACATAAAAAAAAAAAAAATAACACTGGGCTGGCATTATGGCTCAGTAGGTAAAGATTCATGCTGCTAAGCCTGGTAGCCTAAGTCTGTCCTGGGACCCAAATGGTTGAGAGCCAATTCCTAGCGCGCGCGCGCACACACACACACACACACACACACACACACACACACACACACACACGGTAAGTACATATAAACCTATTTTAAAAATAAGACAGATGGAGGTGTGGCAAAGCAGACATCATCTATGGGGGTATGTGGGTATCTGTAAACAGTGCTTTGAAATTACTTGTGTACCTGAATATTTTTATTAAAATAATGTTGGAGAGCTGGTCGGTTAAGACGAGGAGGGATGACAATAGCCCCAGGGAATGATAAGACCTGCCAGAACTTGGGAACCTTTGTTCTCTGGAGCAAGATTCTCTGGGAGGTACATCAACAGGGGAAATTGTGCTTCATCTTGAAGTAGTTTCAGAGATGGCGTAGGAAATCTACGTGAACATGAGTAAGGCTGTGGTTTCGATCTCTTAGTGCTACACACCAAAACCGGGCCCACAGATGTGTCTGTGAAATGAGGGAAAGCTGTGTTCTTTGCTTTGGTCCAGAAAAATCTCTTTGTTCCTTCATTTTACAAATAAAAACTTACACAGCCACTTCAGATGTGTTTCTGCTATGTTCAGGAGAAGGCAGAAGTTCTACACATACTGACCAAGCCTTAGTTTCTTCACATGGCAAATGGGGATAGTGATTTGCTTGCCTTCTCATTAAATTTTGATAGGTTGTTTCTCTTCATTGTAACACATCATCATAAAAAGGGCGTTTTTCTTCTGTTTTTTTTTTGAGGTGCAGTGGTTTGAATCTAAAGTCTTGGGTATGCTCAGCACATGCTCTGCAGCTGAGTGTCAACTTTAGAAAGATTCTAAAACACCAGTGAAATGAAAACCCCACTCTAATTTTCTCACAATAGCCTGTTAACCCTCGATACTTGTCCTTGTAAAATGCCATATTAAAAAAAATTATACATTTATGTACTTTGACTTACATGTATTCCTTTGCAGGATTTCATGCCCCTACCATGTCCTGGCCTGTGGCAGGGACTCTCATGATTGAGCCCACTGAGTCAGAAGACAAGGCAGAGCTGGACAGATTCTGTGATGCTATGATCAGCATCCGGCAAGAAATCGCTGATATAGAGGAGGGCCGCATTGACCCTAGGGTCAACCCCCTGAAGGTACACAAGTGCTAGTAATTTATTCAAAGCATCCCACAGAATTGAACGTGGTACCTGAAGAATGTGCTTACCCTTCCCTAACTCTCTGTGAAGATTAGATTCCCTAGAATGAGACAATGAGTGAGCTAGTTATGAGAAACGAAGTTAGCAGTTTCTATTTTCTTGAACAGCGCAATGGTGGTTAGTGGACCCTGGTTGTAGGAACCGTGGTCTCCACCTGTACCCAACTGACTGAAAGGAGGGGGTGGAGGAAGGAGGCTCCCTAGTTGGAGAATTATCACTGTTTGATACGGTGTAGTCAGAGTGTGTCACAGTAGCATTTGCTCACTTCCTTCCTGAATGCTCTATATAAATAGTTTGGTATTGGCATAGCAACCTGGGAACAAACTAATTGGCATTTGATTCAGCTTGGGAGTTTTGCAGTGCTTATGGCCCATGTGGAGGAAAGTTCAACATTTCCCCAACCTCTTCCAAAATACATTAGAAAACCCCACATTTCTGGTTCAGTGTAAACATTAATCAGGAGGAGACAGCTTGAGAACACACCGTGGGCAGCAGTGGCATCTTTATGGCTATAAGCTAGAGAATGAGATGCTGAGGCATGTTCAGAACCACCTGGCTGCAGGTGCATTGTGACCTTGCTTTGAAATACTGCACCAAAGGGAGAATGCTCCTCATAGGGTGATGCTACATTGTCAGGCCAACCAACTTTATGCATAGGATAAAAACAGTGGGAATCGTAGACCCCAGATTCAGGGTTAGTGGTCATCACGGGAGAAGATGGGGATGGAGAGGCAGTGTGAGCATGTGGGCAGCGTCACCTGTGTCTGCTATTTTACGTTAAAAGGTGAAGCAGATGTGATTTTTTTTTTTTTTAAGGGGGAAAAATACTCATTTGCTCTTACTGGGTGGTAGATATGCTCCATAGATTATCCAACTTTTCTATTTGACTTATTTCCTCATAAAATTTGTATCAACACCTCCACCGACTCCCCAGTTCAACAAATAAAGGAGCTTCCTCTCTGTAGGCTTCCTTCCATCAGCTCTGTGCTTGGGGTGAGGGTGCGGGAGAAGGCAGCACCTTGTTCTGACTGCCACCATTTCTCTGTGCAGATGTCTCCACACTCCTTGACCTGTGTCACATCCTCCCGCTGGGATAGACCATATTCTAGAGAGGTAGCAGCATTTCCACTGGTAAGTTCTCTCAACTGAACTCTTCAACCAGGGTGTTACTATAGCTCCCTTGCCCCTGAGTGTTTCCCTCCTACAGTCTCATCAGGAAAAGCCTATCTGGGATGGCTGGTGAAATGTGGACTGTGATGAGGAACAGAGGGCAAGACTTGGCCTTCGAGGGTCCTCTGAGCTCCTTCCGGGCATCAGTCACAGACTTGGGAACCCACGGAAGCAGGGAATTAGCACTGAGCATCAGTCCTGATGAGTGGATCAGTGTGCTGTCCACTGCATCCAGCAGGGAGGTGGTGGACCCCAGTGTGATCGTGTGTGTGTGTGTGTGTGTGTGTGTGTGTGTGTGTGTGTGTGTGTGTGGGTGTGTGTGTGTGTGTATATTCTTGTTCATGTGCCCATGGAGACCAGGGGTCAATTTTGGCTGGTAGAGGGAAGAAGAGGATATCAAATTCACTGGAATTTGAATTTCATGTGGTTGTTAGCTACCAGGTAGGTACAGGGAATCAAACCCAGGTCCTCTTCAAGAGCCCTAAGTGCTCTTAGCCATCTCTCCAGGCCCCTTCCTCTCCTCTTTTGGTTATGTAGAAAAGGCATCTTGTAGTCCCAGAGGTGTTGAGATAAGACTCCAAAGTTGAAATTGTGAAAAATGTGGATTTTAGCATCTGTTGGGCCAGCAATGCCCTAGACTGTGGGAACATGAATTGCTACATCCTCCTCCCCCCAAAGGAAAGCTCAGAACATCCCCCATCTTCCGTCTTTTCCTTTTCAGCCCTTTGTGAAGCCAGAGAACAAATTCTGGCCAACCATTGCTCGGATCGATGACATCTATGGAGATCAGCACCTGGTTTGCACCTGCCCACCCATGGGGGCCTACGAGTCTCCATTTTCGGAACAGAAAAGGGCCTCCTCTTAGTCCTTCCTCTCTAAGTTCAAAGGACTAGTTTGATGCTTCTTTCTGAAGCATTTGACAAACAAGGATATTTCTTCTCTTGCGCTTGGCTCAAGCAGGAGGTTTATATGTTGTATATTTCCATAATCTTTCAAGGTAATGTAAACACAATTAGCATGGTGAGTGGTGACAGCTGCTATTCATGTTGCCTTGATTGGGAGCCATTTAGTTTTATGAATACAAAATCTGGGGTGCGCTAGCAATTTTAACTTTTTAATTCAAGAAATTTGCAGAGGACAGAGCCTATGCTGGGAATTCAATAGACATTCTTTTTGTTCCAAATAAGTCCTTGAGGACTGTGCCCTCTGGGAACTCCCGGGGCAAATGTTTACATTTTGTATACACTGAAGAATTCCTCCTCACTAATGTGCCTGATCTGTCACAGCATTTCTGTTTTCCTTTCACTATGTGGAACTTTTTTATTATCTGCTTCATTAGTGTTCTAATAAAAACTGAATTTGAATAATGCCTTCCCATTCTATTTTTATACCCATGATGCCCCAGACTCAGAGGGAACTGACTGCAGGGCAGTGACAGCACCCAGGCCAACAGCTACATTTACCCCTGGCTGAAGACGGTTTGCACTGCCCGTTTGCCAGAGAAGGCCACGCTGGCCCTCTTCATTATGGGCTTTTGCAACTTCACTTCAGTAGCAGTTTGACTCACTTAGCAGTTAAGTCCAGAGACAGTAAGCCAAGGGCTGGTGGTCCTTTATGGAGAGGGGAGGAAGCCTCGAGTGAACGGAGAGGGGGTGGAGAGCCAGAATTTGAACCTAGCTCCAGTGCAGCGGTCGAATAGGAGTCCATGCTGCCATGGCAACAGCAAACCTGAAGACTGCCTTTTCCAAGCAGGAAACCATTTTCTGAGCGTAGGCGGGCACCGGCGCACAGCGGTCCTTTCTCTGCAAGTACCGGCATGTGAAAATGGATGGAGCCAACAGCAGTGCTCCACTTTGCTACAGTGCTTGCAGTTGGTTGCTAAGGCTGCTTCCCCAGCTAGCCATCTATTATTCATCTTCAGAGTGTAACACCGGTAACCACTTGTCCTGCATTATCATACCTCTTGTGTTTACCTCACGCTTTGCCAGTCCTCTCCCACCTCTGGGTCCTGGCCTGAAGGGGATTTTTCTACTTAAAACACTGTCCCCTCAAGCCCCACCCCGGCACTTGGTTTGGCACCTGTTCCCTTCATCTCAGTACTTTGTAAAGGTTTTCCTTGAATTCTGGGGAAATGGGCCACTTCTCTTATCTCCACAGTTTGTTTTCTCCTTAATTTTTTTTTTTTTTTTTTTTTTATTTTCTGCCTCATAGACTAAGTGCCCTGAGAACAGGACCACATCTGTCATCACTGGACTCTTAGCAGTGAGGGCTTCCTGTGCTGTGTTCAATTAGAACTAGTTAGTATCTTGTGACTAGAGGCATGATCCTGAGTCATATTGCATGGAAGTCAGTACTTGCAGTGTCATTTGTGAACAGATCCTTTTAAGAGTGTAAAAACACCAAGTCTTGAAGACAGCCTCTGGCTTCTTGTAGAATGTGCCCCTAATTAAAAAAGTTTTTGTTTATTCCTCAAGATCAGCCCTCCAGCTATTCTTAGCTATACAACAGAGTTGCATTTAATACAAAGCTGTGTGGCTGTGCCTATGAGTAGCTTAGACTAGGAGTCTGTGAAAGGTCTGTGCCTGCGTCCTATCAACTGGGCATCCCTCTGTCTCACGGTCCTCATCTTACAGGACACAAGGGGCCAGGGGGCCCTGGCTCATAATGAAACAATGGACTCCATATGCTTGGAAACATCCCTGACTCAGTAATTGGGGCCCAGTACTCTGCAGACCACCCAAAGAGCTGACATTTCAGTTTCCAAACCACTTGTCTCGGGTGGCTTGTGCACCCAGAAAGGGACACTTGAATCCTGTATCTGGTCAAGAAACTATCTTTTGTCACTGAATATACCACACCCCTGTTCTGGATAAAAGACTGTGTTTCATCTATCTTTGCTTATGGAGATCTTTCTAGAATGCAGGTCAACAGATGGGTCTTCAGAGGCTGGGTTTTTGTCAGTCTTGTGCTAATTTGTGAGGTGGGGTGAGATGGACCAGGAGAGTCCTGGGGATCTAGCTGAAGGTGTCCCTTGCCTGTTTTAGGCAAGCATTCTACTTGAGCTCCAGCCCCGGCCCTTTAAGGTGAATCTTACTACTTTAAGAAGAGATCCTTTTGACTTGGCTGAGACTTTCATAGCTGTTCCCAAATGAGGTACTGATACTCACTGTGCACTCTGATCTATGTCCTCGGCTCAGTCCTGTCTGAACCAAGCCAAGAAAACGCCACCACCGCCAGGTTCCCTATCTCCCAAGCAAGTAATTGCAATTGGAAGGGTACCATGCAGGAGCCCAAACCTAAGGCCACTGATAGGAATGTTGGAGGCAGGGGAATGAATGCCCCAAGGCCTTGAATTTGAAAATTAAATTTGGAGAGCAGTGCTGATAACAGTAGCCTCAGGATTGTCATAGAAACCCTGAGTGGTAGGTGGAGGGGCTAGAGGACCAATTGTTCAATACTAGTTAAGGGTGTAGGATGCTCTAAAGATTGATAATCATGTGATACTTCCTCCCTGGTGCCTTTCTTGTTCATAATGTGATTTCTATCTGACTTCATTGACTGCTTTGTCTTGTCCTTACTCCTGTGGTTAATTTTGATTGGATCTGGACATTTCCAGGAAGGGGTAAGGGCACCATCTTCCATCAGCAGCCCAGATATGAGGCAGTCCTACTCTGCCTGCCCATCTTTGCTCCTTGCACCTGAGCCCATCTACTCTGGCTGTGGCTGCTGGGGCCGTCCAGCACTTCTTTCAGCCTCCCACAAAGTGGACTAAGGCCAGTGGTTCTCCAGGAATCCCCCAGCCTTCAGCAGTTGCTGGGTTCTCAGCCTCTCCAGTGTGCAGTCATTGTTGAGACTACCCAGCCCCTGTGTACACTGGTGTAATAAATCCCTTCATAATTGTCTGTCCTATTCCCCCTGAGACTCCCTATTCATCTTCAGAAGCATGTTCCCTGAAGCCTCTCCTGCTTCTCAGGGTGGGCAAGAAATCTGGAATTTTAAAATTAGATTTCTCTTCTCTAATGACCCAAAACATAAGTATGATCAGAAAACGTGGCAGGAGGCAGGATCTGGTGCTGACCAAGGACTGGTGAAGGTTTTCCATAAAAGCAGTGCTTTTTAAATGAGAGTGTGGTGGCTCTGACAGGCAACCCAGTAACCTAACCTTTTCCTCTACATTACGGTTGCTAAGGGGAATGTTCACACAAATCCATTAAACATTATTTTAATTTACTCCCTGTCAAAGAAGATGCCTTGTTTTTCTGTTAAAAATTAGCTTCTGAAATGAGAGATGTTGGGCTGGGCTTGCAGTTCAGTGCCAGAGCCTTTACCCTGAATGTATGAGGGCCTGGGTCCAATCTCCAGCATCACAAAGCGAAACATGCCAACATAAGTAAGCAAACTGAAATGAACATTGGAGCGAGCTTATAATTCTTTAACAGAATCTAAAGTAGATGAGCCATATTGTTATGGATTTCAGGAATAATGAACCAATATTTGTTCATCCGTTGAAATCAACACACAGCTAATTAAGTATTAAAAGCAGAGGGCAAGGCAAGGTGCCAGCTGCAGGGAGCTCAGGGTACTTTCTGCTCAGTTCTGCAAACCTAAAACTGCCCTGAAAACTGAAGTCTATTTAAAAAGCAATCTGTGCACTGATCTCATTTCCTTATTTTCTAAAGACATGTACCTTCTTTCTGAGGTACACCACAGACACAACATAGACATTGCACAAGCAGGCAGGCAGGCAGGCAGGCAGACAGCAGACACACACACACACACAGTTGTGACACTGACTATTGCTTGCCTGGCTCCCCACATCATTCATGGTTCCTGTGGTGAGTTGAATCCATATAAACTACACAGGTTAATTTGATATGCACAAGTCTGGGTAGCAAAGGATCCAGATGAAATTGGTAACAAACGACATTAACTAAAAATATCTCACATCTTGCGCCACCCTATATGCCCTTTGGTGTACACTCAGCCTGTCACATAACTTAAAGATGTTTTCATAGCTTCTTGCATCAGTTTTACTGTTTGTCCTTGTTGGTACGGGTGTGGGGTATTATGAATGTGTGGAGGGCAAAGGCAGATGTTATGGATATTTCCGTTATGGTTTTCCATCTTTATTTTTTGAGATGGTCTGTCACAGCACTTGGTTAGGTCAGCAATTCAGTTAGTCTAGGCAGCCAGTAACCCATGTTTCTGCTGCCATGCCCAGCCTTTTACATTGGTTCTAGAGGACTCAGGGCTACATGCCTGCCTGTCATGAACTTTACCATTTGAGCCATCACCCCCAGCCCCACAGATCCCCATTCAACAGACAGCAGTGTTATCACAGGCACCTTAGTCTGTATTTGACCCATCTGGTCTCTTGCCCTTTGTGGGAAATCTAGAGCTTTATTCTAGTAAACAAAATAAATATAACTCAATGGCATGAGAACACTGATGGACACTCCCACTCTATCAAACAGGCTGGGCTTGGAAGTACTCGAGTGTTAATCCAGGGCCATTTTTAAGAGTAGGGCAGCTATGCTGTGGGTCGATGTAGGAATAAAGGTTGGACCAAGTACACAGGAAACAGCAGGGGCAGGAGAGAATTCTAGGCAGCATACTCTGGGGGAGCAAGAGGGAAGTGAGGAGAGGAAAAGGGATTCAGCAAAACCCCTGTGGTGTGGAGATGTCTTTCCATGGAAGCAAACTCTCTTCAAACTGCATGAAAGGAGTCAACTCTGTGCCATTAACAGGACTCATGCTTTTTTTTTTTCTGCAAACAGGGTTTCTCTGTAGCTTTGAAGGCTGTCCTGGAACTGGCTCTGTAGACCAGGTTGGCTTCAACTCACAAGAGATTCGCCTGCCTCTGTCTCCCAAGTGCTGGGATTAAAGGCATGCACCACCAACGCCCGGCCCAGGCCTCATGCTTTCACAGCAGATGCAGAGAAACTTCAGTGTGGCTTTAGTCTTGTCCACTGGACTTTCATCGCACTAGTAAAAGCATTTGGGTACATCTGAGTATGACGGTTTGAATTTTCTTCAGAAGATGTTTTGGAAGATTATTGAGAAAAACCAAAACAATTGGTGAGACCAAAGTGGTTTTATGTAACAGATGAAGTCATGAACTCCTAGAGAACAGGGTGGAATGCAGAGTGCTCAGTCGTCCTTGGGAAAGCGCAGACTTCCCCAGCAGTGCTGCCACTGAGGGTTTACCCACACTGACTGCTGAGCGGCCACAGGGTCAGGCACAGGCATTCTTTAAAGTATGGTATAAGGGACAGGCTAACAGTATAATCAACATGCTTCAACACAGAAAACTATGAGGAATAGTAAAACTCACAGACAGAAAAATCTAGGTGTTTTAATTGATTAA